CCCGTACTATACGCTCTCCCTGTCAAGAGATTTTGGGAACCAATCGCGACCTCAGAAAACAATTGCAAGCCGTGTAATTCACATTAAAGTTTTATGATCATGTATACCCAATTTAACTATCACCTTTTGTTAAGAACATTGAGTTAGTGATTCATTGGTATAATTAGATCTAGTAAGTTCTCATGCTAGCATCTTAGTATGTTCGTTCTGTTATACTATCTTTTATAGTGTATAGTATGTCTCTCTGATGTATTGTTTCTACCTCCCTGTTTCTCCTTATAGTATGTTCTAGTATCTAGTATGAACTGAATCTCTAAACTATACCCCTTGTAGTTTACTAGTATTTTACTTGTACTGTTACTGAAAGGACTCATTTTGCTACTAAGTTATGCTTGTACTTTAAAAACGGAGTTTTGTTAAACTATAAAGTAACATAAATTTTAAAGAGTTTTTGAAATGTTTTGACAACATATAAATGACATAAGTAATCTTTTGAAAATGTTTATAACAAACACTTACACAATTATCATTGTGTTCAACTTGTATTCCCCCCCCCCCCCCCCTTTAAAGCATTTAAAACAGTTTAAAAGATTGATTATGGGGTATGAACTCACCTTATGTGGGTGATTCAAACGAATATGTGCGTAAGGATGAGAAGTTCCACGAGTGAAGTCCCGAGACACAACAAGTCCTAAATGACATATATTGCAATGAATATAGTGTTTATAGGCAACTGTATGAAAGGAAACACCTTCCGGGACTAGGAAACACTTTGACCAAGTGTTGGAATCACATGTGATTCATCTAAAGGGTGTTTAAGGCCAAGGATTTGTGTTCACGGCCATGGGTTTATGGCCAAGGGAGTTTACGGCCGTAAACTCATGGTCAAACATGCATAAGAGGGTGTTTCATATGCTAGGGAGACTTGAGGGACCATTGCTCTACACAAGGATGAGAAAGACCAACATATTGGAGACTGTTGAGGTGTTTATGTCCACACCATAAACTCTATTGGGTCTTAAAGGCAAGGAGTTTCAAAGGTTCAAGTGTCCCAAAGGATGGCTAGGGTCTATAAGTGTTTAAGTTTCAAGACTTGGCCCTAATTAGGGTTTACGGCCAAGGGAGATTCCCTTTGGCCGTAAACTCTCATAGATGATGAGTTTGGTGTTGATTCAAGGCCATAATCTAGTGTTTAACATGTACAACTAGATGGTAGATGGAATACTCACCCTTTTGAGGCCCTTAGAAGAGTTTTCGGCCACCAAGAACAAGTGTGTTCTTGGTGAAAGTTGAAGATCAAGAAAAATATTGACTTCAATGGATGAAATCAAAGAGTGATTCATGAGAAGGAAGGATAATCAACAACTAGGGGAAAGAATCACTTACATTTTGAAGATCGGGAGCAAAAGTCTCGATGATACTTGAGAGATAATGGAAGAGATTTCGGCCAAGTAAGGAAAGAATGAGAAAGATGAAGTGCCCTTATATATAGGGGTGAGTTTACGGCCACCTTGAGTTTACGGTCATAAACTCTTGGTGTCCTGGCCGTAAACTCCCCTTGAATGAGTTTATGGCTTGACCTTTGAACAGTGTATCCAGCAGGTACTTCCTAACACTCATTCCATGAATGTATTGGGCTTAAAACACTCAAACAGACTCTAAACAGTGCTTAATGATAGCAGGAGTGAGTCTGACTTAAGGTTGATTGTACTGACTTTACAAAGCAAAAATTTTTGGGTTGTCACATTTACGGCCGTCAACAGGTTTACGGTCGTGAACTCCAGTCAGGCCGTGAACTATTGTTTTGTTTGAAGGAAAACTCGAATTTCACGCGGTTTCTGGTCCCTACTCGTATATAAGTTCAATTATATAACTAAATGATTTTCCCAAACCGAAGGAATTTGACAAGACTCAATAAAATTCAAAATTTTTATCAACGAAAGTTGATTAACGAAAACGGAAAATGTTTCGGGTTGTCACATAATATTGTTCTTCCTTTGCTCTTGGTAAACATGAAGCTTGGAATCCATATCCAATACTTCATCAATTAAAGACATTCTCTCTCTCTCTCTCTCTCTCTCTCTCTTTGTATATTGTGAATTGTGTTTTATTTTAATGCTTTTGACAATGTTTTTGTATTCTTTTATAGACATTATTGAAGGGTAGATATCTCGAAGAAAGGAAACTGATTCACGAGCCTTTAAATCAAAGGATTTTTAGTATCAGTTTTTATGATTCTCCTGAAAAAGATACATCCAGGTCTTCTGAACAAGTTGTATATTCCCTCTTTTAACTATTCATATGTTGACATTTCTCACGTTATCATCTCTTTACCATTTTTGTCTTGTACCATCTTAAAATGAATTGACGGTGAATTTTAAATTCTATACTGCAACCTAACTTTATGATACAGAAGATAAACCACTTCTCGTTGATAAGTTTCCATTGGTTATGATTCACGCTGATTTCACAGCAGTGTGATTAAAACATTCCATTCTCCTCAATTTCTTCTTTATAAAACTTAATGATCCACTGTGATATACCACCCACTAGTAAAACTTTGAAACTCTAAGGCGATGGTTAGTCTATGTACCTTAGGCAATCACACACACCAATCCCTTCTTGCCCTTAAATTCTTTGATGCTTTGTATCGACCGGATACACTTCAAGTAAAATAAACAAAGTCAAGAAATTAACTTAAACAAAAAAGAAATATAAAAACTAAAGAACATGACATATTCACAAATTTGTCTTTCACCAAGAAAGGGTTTGTTTTCACCAAGAAAACGGGTTGTCACAAAGACCGTCACCAAGACGTACATTAGGGTTTCAACCTAATGTGGTATATGTACTAATCTATACTAGTATAACCCTTAAATTAAGGGATTCTATCTAATATATTCTAAGAAGCAATCCTTATCACAAAGATATCGGGCCTACTATCTATTCTATACATATATGTATAATTACCTAATATACAAAGACTACACTAAATTATATAACTACACGCTGATGCTAATCTTGATGCTGACGTTGATAATGTCTTGAGACACCGGCGTTGGCGGGCAGCGTATAAAGTGTTTTACTCATCAAATCATAAGGTGTGACCTTACAATCTCCCATATCTGATGATGTCAAAAGTATTCTTCTTCAGAGGAGTAATCAAAAGAACCATTGTAGAATTTATCAGCTTATTTTAAAATTTCAGGCTTTACCCACCCGAATTCATCAATTTGAAGTTATTCCAATAATTTGCTAAGCTCAGGAGAGATCAGAACATGATATCCTCTTTCAATTTCTATATGACTAAGTCTTTCCATCCGAAGATGAAATATATGCTCAGTGAGTGCAACAGGGAGATCATCAGTACGTTGAAAACATATATGATTTTGACTATCAAGATAGAAAATAACATGCTCTGGTTCTCGAATGAACATGCATTGAACTGGTTTAACACCCACTGGAAGTTCGTTGTTAATGTAGCGAGTTCCAAATTGAAGAAAAAAACTTGATATTCTTGTATGATTTGGGAGCGTCTGTTCCTCCTGAAATGGATGGTCTAGAAAGACTAGCTGATGGCACAAGATTTAACATTTTAACTTTGTTGAGCAGCTGCTGAATTTGTAACTTTACCTCCAGAGCATGAATACCACTATATTTCTTGACAATTTCCTAAATTTGTGTCCACTTGTTATAGCCACATTTGACCAGATCACGAGCGAGTATAATGTGACAACCCGAACCTTTTCCCGTTAACGTTAGCCCGATTTCGTTAAATTAATTTTGAATTTTATTTAGTTCCGTCAAATTCCTATGCTTTGGAAAATCATTTAAGTTATATAATTAAATTCTTCTTTTATGAGTCGGAAACAAAATCGTGCGAAAACCCAAGTTATTTCTAAAATCAACAAAAATTGGCCTGACTGATGTTCACGACCGTGAACCCGACCACGGCCGTAAACCTGTTCACGGCTAGTGCCCCCCACCACCGACCATAAACTCCCTATATATACGTGACTCGTACCCTCATTTATACTTTTCTGGCCGTGAAAACCCTTTGTCCCTCTAAAAATCATGACACAGAAACACAACAATTCTCTTCATCTATCACTCTATCTACCTTGGAACTCATTTTGGAGCATCAAAGCCTCCATTTTTCATCAAGATAGAACATCGTTGTTCTTGAGTTCACGGCCGTACACCCTTCAAATCTTCAAACCTTCAAGGGCCGCAATCTGTTCACGGACGTAAACCCTTCAAACATTCATATTTCCTTCAAGAACACCGTTCACGGTCATAAACCCTTCAAGGGGCTGTTCAAGGCCGAGAAAAGTTCACGGCCGTAATCCCCTTCACGGCCGCAAACCTTCCCAAGTTGTGAACTTGTCTGAAAACCCGCTTTCTCCAATTTAATCGAGTCTCGGTAACATTCCTAAACCAAAAGAAACTGTTTTTCCAACACTATAAATAAGGGTTTCGCTAATAAATTCATATGTGTATTTAATTGATATTAGGATCCCGTTAAGTGTCGCATTCATCAACCCGAGGGTATTCACTCCGAGTTTCGTTGTCCGACATTTCACGCAACCAACAGTGAGTTCATACCCCTATTATTTTATAATGTTTTTAGGGGGAGAATACAAGCCGAACACAAATGATTTTTTGAATTTATATCATAAAAGGACTTCAACACACTTAAAACTGATGCAATTGATACAACCTTACGTTTTTCCACATTTTTATAAAATATTTATAGATATTTTATCCGTTTTGTTACATGCTGAGCATAAGGGACGTTTTCAACTTATAAGCATCATTGCAAATTTTTCAGATCAATACACAAATCAAGTACGTAATATACATATAAACTATAATAGGTGTAGTTTTTGATTTCAATACACGGTTTTACATATTCAGGCACATAAACTATAAATAGGGTATAGTTTAAGGAACGAAAGTATTTGTTGTTATAAACTTATCTGTAACGCCATGATTTTTCACCCTAATTTGTTTCATTTATTTTTAAAATCTTTTAACGGAAAATGCAACGGAAGATTGTAAACATCGTTCATTTCAAAAACATTTCAAACCACAAAGTTACGTTCAATTCAAAACCAAAATATCAAAAGTATTTAATTGTAGCGGAAGCATAAGTTTCAAAATTAAATAACGTGTCCAAGTGGCATCTTTATTCTAAGGATAAACTACCCAAAAGTGACCCCATCTCACCAAGCCAAGCTCCTAAGCTACCTGTACAAATCGTAAAGGCACAAAGCAAAGAAACAAGTGTCAGCAAATGCTTCGTGAGCCAATAGGAGTTTGTACACAATCAAAGGGAAAACATACCATCCCCCAACGGGTCAATCATTCAAATTATAATCATATAAACAAAATTCACATATCAATCATTAATCAATCATCTTTCACATAAAATTCAATCATTCAATTTTGTATCATCCATCCACATATCATTCATTAGTGTAACATCAATCGTATTTCATGCATAATCATATCGTAATCATATCAAAGGAATCTATCATAATCGTATAGGTGTAGGTAGTCTCATAGTGATACCTAATCCCAAGGGAAAAACCTGTTCGCTACTGGTGTGCCTGGCCAACCAAATGCTTTAGGTGGTTCGCGACTGCCACCCGTCACACCGACCCCAAGACTCCACTTTCACTACTCCGAATATGCAATGTACAAGTACATCGTGGTGTCGTTCGGGATCGGTACAAACGGTGTCAATTCTACCGATACACCTCCCGATTCCCACGTGATGTTTGATCCGACCTCGTTCGAATTGCCAACATCACTCCAGTCCGCAAACACCGAAGTGTACACGTACCATATGTCACACGGGCATCTAGAAAGACCGAGCAACTCGTAAATGGCTTAAGCTCTTTTCCTAGGAGGTATTTTTCAACCAACCAGGCTCGAAGGTATCCGGATAGGGTTTCATGCTAAGTGCTAGGTTCTACCCTTGCCCTCTACGCATAACCCCGCATAATCGATCGTAAATCAAGTACAAGCATGCAATATTCGTATTATCATAATCAAGATTCATAACATTTATACCAAGAAGATACTCAACAAGATCATAGTCACATATCAAGCATTTCATATAACATATCATATTTGCAATTAATCGTATCAAGTACCAAGATATTCATATCAACGAAATAAGCATACAATTGTCACAATGAGGCAAAACAGTAACATATCTCATATGGCACATATTGGCAAAATCAACAATTAAAAATATTCTAATTTGACTAATCGCACTGTTTCCGGAAAGTAGTTTTCGACTATGTACAAGGTTTATGAAAAGTCTATCGACTCACCTTTGGTTCGGTAGTGAAATCACTTCAAAACCTGAATTTGTAGCTCTTTGATTCAACAAATACCTAAACAAAAGTATATATCTATTCAGTTTAGGCTAAGATAACTAGATTATTACTAAACACATATTTAGTTTATCTCATATTGCTTTATTAAATTAATTTTATTGTTGTTTATAAGCATAACTTTTAATACATGCTAACAAATCAGATCATTTTTTAACACTTAAAATTAGCATGCAATTGTTATTATTTTATCTATATTATATTTAAAAACCTATAATTTGAATTAATAATCCAACTCACAAACTTCGTAGCCTAGTAAAAGTGATTAAACATAAACTTAATTATATTGGAGGGCATGACATTTTTTTTATTTATATATCATAACCCATGAATATTAATACATTTGATTTAATATTATATACATCTAAGGATCTTAGAATAAAATAAGTAATTTTTATATGCAAAACAGGGTGCCTTCATGAATTATGTATATGTAGTTCTCCATGTCTCTTTTTCTTTCTTAATATACAAGACGTGGGATAGGAATCAAGAAAGTCAATGTTGGAGGGCTAGTGGGTATGAACTAAACAACCAACCGAGATATCCCTTACCGTTGTATTTGGTACCAACAATCCACGAAATTCATTAGTATACTGAAGGAGATGCTACATATTGTTGATTTTATGGAATAGGCAGAAAGAACATGGACAACATGGGATCTTTTCATGGTTTAAGAAGGGTGGACTTAGGGAAGCAAAAATCGTGAAAACAGAAAGGACGGAAAAATTATGCATGACTGCACCTATGCTTCGTTATTGTTTAACTTTGACAGGAAAGAGGAAGCATAATCGGCAGGTATCAGGAAAGAAAAGAAGGAACATAAAGCTTACCGGGAATTGAACGCAAATGCACAACAGCACCGCAAACCTCCTTCTGTCTCTCTCGCTCTCTCTCTCTTTGGTCGATTCACGTATATGGCTGCCCAAGGAGGGATGTAATCCGTTTTCTAGGGTGTAGGGGAAAGGCATATAAGTCGCCTGGTAACGGAAACGAAGAAGAAGATAGGATGCGACAGTTTGCGTTAATTGAATAGGGTTATTTAAAACGAACTTACAACTTTGGTTCCTGAACTTTACTCTTATTGCATAACCAACTCTTATTTTTCTGTACTTTTTTTATTTAATCCTCCATAATTTGCATCTAACCCCCCTTTACTTTTATGGGATCATATTTGACTCTTTTTATTAATTTAATTTACATCTTGGTTTCCTTTTATTAGATTTAACATCGTTTAATTAATTTAAATGTTACATGACCCCTTTCTCTTTTAATCCTAATTTATTTATTCTTTATTTATTTTATGTTATTTTAAATAAATCTCACATTAATTAAATGGATTTAATCCATTTTAATTATTAATTAAATTTTATAAATTATGTAAATCTCGATTAAATCTTTAAAAATTCAAATTAATCTTCTTTTGTTCATTTTCTTTTATACTAAGCACATAATCCTATATAACATTGGACTAACTAACGAAAAGAATTTGGGTCGTTACATTATTTGTTATTTATAAAAAAAGGGGCTTTCATATTATTACTTGTAAATTCGTTAAAATAGTTTGAGAGACACGTCTTTGGGTACTTACATATGTACTAGTTGAAGACTACCCTTATGAATCAGAGTCTCCTCGAGGGAGAGTGTGAGTTTGTTTATAGATCTATATGGGACTGACAATCCTGCACCTAGCTGTTAGATACAGTAGGACCGATAGGTCTACGTGTGACAAAGTCATAAAGGATATTAGCGTCCGATTCACGTCGTATCAGTTAGTATGGTCATAAAACTCGCAAGTAGATAGAAACGATATATTTACGTAGTAATATACTTTTCATGAACAATGTTTTAATAATATAAGTATGGAAAATACTTGTATTTTTCAATTATGGAACAATTAAAGTGACAACATACATTCAGGTGGAAAATACAGGATTTTCCCGGACAAACATCAGTATTTTTACAAACAATCAGACTATCATTCAGCCATCGAATATTCATTGTTAATTCTATAATCCCTTAGTTTATACATCTGGGTAACGTATGAAGAATATCCGATAGACTGTGGAATGTGTGGTTTCCGCTCCATCCCCTGTTCATTGTTTGGTTGTAGGTTTAGGGTAGATCCATACAATTAACTGTCTATTTGATATTGGTTTACACGTTGCTAGTATGAGTTAAGAGATTATTGAAGAAACTAGTATTATCATACTTATCTTAACTTTCATTATATATCAGTAATTATAAGGTTTTCCTGTAGAAACATAACACACTTGTCAACGAACTCAGAACCTGTTTTTCTAAATCAAAATGCTTATGAACTCACCAGCTTAAATGTTGATCTACTCTTTCAAAATAACTTGTATTCTCAGGAAATCAGTGGACAGGTACTCCCGCAGCTTTTGAGAAGACGTAGCATTTAGAGTCACGTCTTTATATTTTTCTACTTTTGATGTATATGAATATGAATCAAACCGATGTAAATACCTTTTTATATATTTAATGTAATGGTTGTGTTTACTTTGATTACTATGATGCAATTTTTGTGATACTACACATGGCGTCCTCAACCCCCGAATGTTTTCGCTGTTTCGGTTTAGGGGTGTGACAGATTGGTATCAGAGCTATTGTTTATAGTGAACTGAGTATACCGAACCTTACATGGTATAGAACTATAAACACTATAGGGGTCGAAGTGCGCTGAAACTAAAAGTATACTTGAAAATATAAGTATTTTACAAGAAGTATACAAGTATACATATTTACAAGAAGCTATAACACCATAATAACTACATAAAAGTATTTAGGACAAGTTGGACACTATGGTTAAACCTAAATATGCAACAACGTAAATTTCCAAAACAATTTTTCATTTTTAAATCATACTTTTAATCATAAACAATATCAAAACATAATGTATCCAACGTCATCTCAAATAACAACTTCCAAGATCTCAATGAAAATAAAACTCCATCTGTGTGTACGGTCATGCCGGCGCCTTCCCGCGATCCTCACTGGTACCTGAAACACATAACACACAACATGGTAAGCATAAAGGCTTAGTGAGTTCCCCAAAATACCACATACGCACGTACGCCACTCAAGGCTATAAGACCTTCCGGTCTCTGTGTCTCAGGGGACTTCCGTCCCATAACTCTGGTAGACCTTCCGGCCCTACCTATAATGACCTTCCGGTCCATTTCACTCTGACCTTCCGGTCCATATCCTCTTGACCTTCCGGCCCACATCATATCACATACATATCACATAACAGCATACAGTACATACACATCATAGCATACAAGACCTTCCGGTCACACATAGGTACCTTTCCAGGTACAGTATAGTGAGAAGAGTCACCTCGGGTAATCTCGGATAATCTCGCACACGGAAACACTAATCTAGTCCCCGCCTAAACACATAAACAATATTCTCGAATAAAACAATGGCTCTCAAGGACTAGATTACATCCCTTCCTACAATCCCACAGAAGGGTAAAAGACCATTTTACCCCTCCCTGACCCGAAAGTCCAAATGTTGACCAAAACTCTAAAAGTCAACTGTGACAACCGTCAAAATTCGAGTCGGTTCTAGATTTTAATAAAATTAGTTGCACATATAGGCACGACACATACTAGACTTAGTAACTAGAAGTTAAGATATAACCTATTAGAAACTTGGAAACAGTTAGAAACAATGGATAATATGCTTGGATTTCACATTGGTATGTGAATTCTACTACTACTTAACTGTAGAGACTATCCATATTCAGGTCACTCTTTGACTCGAACACCATTTCATGAATCATATACACACATCCTGCACTTGACCTAAAAGTAGAAGTTAGTTCAAAGTCTCATAGAAACTTAAGTCAAAGTTAAAGAGTAGGACTAGTATACTTGATTCCTCAATTTCGCTTGAATCTCGGAATCACTACATAGAATGCCAATAAACCGCTAAAAATAAATTACAAACATTATTTATAACTATAAAAGAGTTATAATACCATAAGATAATTTAATGTCTCAAATATTCTATTTATTTTGATATCTAAAGATTTACAAAATCTCAAGACCCTAAAAGCCATAAAAACTCATATTTATAAACATTAACCTTAAAAATTCTATAAAAATAATTATGAAACTTATAATATAATCTTATAGTAATTAAAATTATGAAAATTCATTCAAGGAAAATAAAATTTAACTCATTAACATTTACCCTTAATTTATAAATCAAAAATCAAGGTTTTATGAATAAAAACTTGATTTTAGTGCACATTTTATATAAATTTGAGATATTTTATAAAAGAACTTAAATTTTATAAAAGAAAATGAATGAGAAAGGGGTATTATACTCAAAAATTTGGATCCCTCTCTCCCCATATCTCTCTCTCACACTCTCATTCTCCAACACACACACATCTCTCTTCTTTCTCTCTCTAGAAAACTCTCTCTACCTTCTCTCTAATTTTTTTTCTCCAAACACCACAACCACAGCCTCTTAACCACGAAATTATGGAGATTCATAACGAGTTTTCAAGCCACAAATAAATTTAAGGTAAAGAACATACATCTCTTGAAGATCCACAACAATGATTTAAGCCATGCATGTGCATTTTACTTCAAAAACCGACTTCTACTTCTTCATCTTCTTCAAACTTGTTTTCTTTTTGTTAAAATGGATTTTAGAACATCATGGATGTGTTTTAACACCATGCATGTATGATAAACAAGGTTGCATGTTCATGATATTACTGCAAAAATCGATTTTAAGGACTAAAACATCAAACTCAAGTTAAGAGTTTTTGAGAAACAAAATTTTGTTCATAAATGCATGTATACATTTTGATAAGTTTTAATCTTTTGATCTCTATAAATATGACTAAAATATGAGTTTATCATGATATATTTAAAATATTTCAAAAGATTTACTCAAGGAAATGATGAAAACTCACTTTTCTAACCAATCATCATGCATGCAATCTGTCAGATTTCTTTACCTGACTTTAAACTGCCATATCTCACTCATTTAGTATCCAACATTCGTGATTCGTTTTCTGAAATATAATATTTTGAGTTAGCTTTCAAACCCATCTGACCTCACTGGAAAATTCCAACATTTCGATTTTTACCAATTTTTACAAAAATGTTGCTCAAACAGCACTTTCCTTATGAACATTTGTTTTGTGTTGCATGTTCAAAGCACTTATTCATCACTAAAAATCATTCAAAAATTATTTCAAACTCTTAATACCATGTATTAATAGGTACAAAAAGATCTTGATTCAAAAGTCTTTGTAACATGTTGCAAAAATTCTCAAAGTAACATCAATAATCTTTACCAAAATCACAAGAATCAAGTTTTCTCTATAATTGTTTGAGCCTTTAGGCATGTTTTTTGACTCAAAAATAAGAAAACAATTTTTCATTGTTATTAAATTGGTTGAAGATGCATTCTAGAAATTTTCAGCTCAATATATATTTTCTTTGTTTTTACATGAAAATAATAATAAAATAGAGTGTTAAAGCATATAAAATGCTTAAGCTTGTAAATAAATTCTGAAAATATTTGTGGATGACCCTTTAAGTTAATAAACATCTCTCATTAAGTTTCATTGATTTTTGTTACTGTTTAGTGTAGTTTTTAATTTTCTTTTTATTTAGCTCCAATAAATCATAAAACCACTTTAGGGAATGTGAAAATATTATTTCTTATTTTTCGCAGCTTGTACCTTATATTTAAGACTCAGAACAATATTTTGGGAATTTTTGAAAATGCATATCTACTTTTCTTGAATTTTTGTGTTTATAATGGACTAAAAACAGGAAAAATAGTTTTACTCATCCAAAAAATTCATGAAAATTTACCAGAAACTCTCATAATATGTTAGGATGATACATAACTTTTTTTATGATTTTTATCTTCTGTATGCTATTTTTCTTCTATTTTCCCAAGATTTAATACACTTAAATGTACAAAAATCAGAAAAATTGTGTTAAACTTTTTGAAAACACATATTAATATTTTTCCCAGATTATGTACACTGCAAAACAGTTACACAAAAAATATAAGAATTTTTCATGATAATTTACTATTTTTCCATGATTTTATGATTATTCAAGGAATTAAATGGTGAAAAATAGTTAGACAAATCAAAAAGTCAAGAAAATTTATCTTAAGGTCTTTGACTTCAATTAAAACTGAAATACAAAGTTTGGGAAAGTTTAGAACTAAATTGATTTCGTTTTGAATATTTAATCATTGGAACACCTCTAAAATGTTAAATATTAACATTTCAATAATGGAAATTTTCCACTTAAATTGTTATATAACAATTGATTCTTTGAAACTTAATTTCCACAGAAAAATGTTTGTAACTTATCAATATTAAATTTGGACACATTATTGGCATAATTCTATTGTAGTAGTAAGTATACTAGTATTAGATTTCAATTAGAGACTCATTAGTGTGTAACATCGTTGTAGGAAAACGATAGTGGTACGAGTGGAGCGTAGATCAAGGCATCATTTGCATCATCTCAATGCATTGTGAGTATTCACGCACTCCCCTATTTTCAGTTTTTTTATGTTTTGGGGTGGAAAAGCATGTCCCGAAAAACTATTATTTTTTCGTTGTATTTAAATTGATTTGTATCAAACATGATTGCTATTTTATTGCTATATCTCTCTAACCATTAACTCTTTGAGCCAATGGTCATTATGGATAGCGCTATTAGGAATTGACAACTCCTCACTCGCCCTATTGCTGGAGTGCATGATACCATATTAATCTATGGAACGATAAGCATAGATCTTGATAGGGCTTCAGTCATAGGTTTGGTTGAGAACTCATTGTTTGCTCATACACATTCAAACTTGTTATTTATTATGGCAATAAACTCGTTTATCAATTATAGCAATCAACTTTGTTTCTTATTATAGCAATAAACTTTGTATCTCATTATAACAACGAACTTTTGTTACTAAATACTTATTTA